TGGTGACTCTAAATTGTACGTAGGTGTGAATGTGAGTGTGAATGGTTGTCTGTCTCTATGTGTCAGCCCTGTGATAGTCTGGTGACCTGTCCAGGGTGCACCCCGCCTCTCACCTAGTGTCAGCTTATTAGTCTGAGTGGGCGGAAGTTCGCTGCATAGATCAGCCTCTCATTGGGCGGACCGAGCCACCCGCTGAAGTCCCGCCCTACCACCTCCGGTTGTGTAGCAGTTTTCACAGTCCCCTCACAACTTGTTGTGAGTTGTGTCACATAGTCGACAAACGTCCTTTACTAACTTTTGCGGTGTTTGATCTTGCGGGGATGTAGCTATTTTTCTGCCATGGTTCGTGTCCTGTAGGCGATATTTTTGTGGGCGTGTTACACCAAAACCTGTTTCCCCCCAGCAATATTTTTGCAAGCGCACCGTTGCTGTGGCACTGCCAAGAACGATTGTGATTGGTTGAAAGAAATAAAAAAAGCCGGGGCATTTTTTTCTCCACTCTTAAAGTGAGAGTCGACCCAGCCAGACCTTTCTTTTCTTGAGAAAGGTCTGGTGAGCGAGACTAACTGGGATAGGCTCCAGCCCCCCATGACCCTCAAGAGGATAAGCGGTTACAAAAATGGATGGATGTCTTAGAGCAGACTGGAGACAGCAGAGCTTTTCCACATTCTAAAATCAAGAGTGAAATTCTTCTAAACATTAAATAATTTGAAATGTCTTACCTTGTTTATGACCAGTGCTTTGGTATTCATCTAAAAAAAGATCAAAGAAAATTATGTAGCTGGTTTACTGCCTTTATCTAACATTGGACATGTGTTTCACGAATGATGTATAATAAATGAAATGAAAGAGGTACACAGGCAGTGTACGTAAGTTAGTGTGGTATTATTTAAAACTGACCTTTTTTAATCTTACGGGTCCACAACGGTTGAAGCTCATTTTTTTGTTGGAGCTTGAGCACAAAGTCTGTGTCTGGATTTTTAATGAACACTTCGAAGAAATTTGGTTCTGTGCTTTCATATATGAGCATTAATGTCTGTGAAAGAATAAAAAAAATAAATAAGGGAGAGACTTACACTTTGAACAAAAGTGCACCATCATATATGTAAGAGCCAAATGCAGGCAAAAGGTTTATCGGGTCTGTCAATATGTTGCCCCTCCCACTCACGGTATTTAGGTAGGAACTAACCTGTTGCTGGTAGGTGTTGCTGCCTGGAGGGCTAACAGTTTTTGACCACACACACACACACACACACACACACACACACACACACACACTTCACATGCGGAACGCTGTTTGTTTTATGGATTGTCGATTTGTGGGCTACAATAAATGGACCAAGGGTTCGCATCACAGTTTGTTGACGGAACGCGGTAACGTATTCAAGTGTGCATCAACTAGGTCGACCCGTGGCAGCAGCCCTCAGTGGCTTAAAGCACTTTAGGCTTAGCCTCTACAATATATTTCTTTTTTCATTTTCATGTTTTCAAATGAAGTTGCGGTGATAATGGTGTGAACATTGGTCACAAATGTGTTAAAATCCATGTTGGTGAGCACTTCTCCTTTTCCCAGATAATCCATCCATCTGACAGGTGTGGCATATCAAGATGCTGATATAAACAGCATCATTATTACATAGGTGTGCCTTAGAATGGTCAAAATAAAAGGCCACTCTAAAATGTTCAGTTTACTCACACATCACAATGCCACAGATGTCACAAATTTTAAAGGAGCGGGCCACTGGCATGTTGACTGCAGGAATGTCCACCAGAGCTGTTGCCCCTCAACTCAATGTTCATTTCACTACCATAAGCTTCGTCCAATGTCATTTCTGTAAATTCGGCAATACATCCAACCAGCCTCATAACCGTAGACCACATGTAGCCACATCAGTTGAGGACCTCCACATCCAGCGTCTTCACCCAAAAGATCATCTGACACCAGCCACCCGAAAAGCTGATGCAACAACTGGTTTCCACAACCAGAGATTTCTGCACAAACTGTCAGAAACCGCCTCAGGGAAGGTCATCTGCATGCTCACTGTCCTTCACCAGGGTTTTGACCTGACAGCAGTTTGTCGTCATAACAGACTTGAGTGGGAAAACTGCTCTCTTCTGATGACTTCTAGCACATTGGAGAAATGTTCTCCTCACAGATGGATTCCTATTGACATTGCAGCAGGCAGATGGCAGACTGCGTGTGCAGCATCGTATGGGTGGGGTTATGGTATGGGCTGGCATGAGCTATGGACAACGAACACAGGTGCATTTTATTGATGGTAGTTTGACTGCACAGTGATACCCTGACAAAATCCTGAGGCCCATTGTCATGCAATTCATCCGTCACCATTAGGGGTGTAATGGTACAGGTAGCTCACGGTACGGTCCGTACCTCGATTTTTGGACCACGGTTTTGGTTCAGTTCGGTACGTGTTTTGTGCATAAAGAGAACAATTTTTTCCCAAAAAAATTATCTCTTTATTTTGCTTGTCAGTAAAACTGCATTTCGCAGTTAACAAATTCCAGTATCACTTGACATGTTGCTGTGTTGCCTAATCAAGTGATGGAATTTGTTATTTACGTGACAACGCCTGAACGCAACACAGGCTCCGCTCCATAGACTGTGTATTTAGTAGGGGTTCTGGCCGGGCTCGGTTGTAACTGTCGGTCAGGAAAATGCGGCCCAGGCCGCACTTTTGTGTGCTCACCTGTGTCTGTGTGTGTGCGCATCGGGGTACAACTCCGTCCCAACTCGCGTGGTAAACACGCGACCATGTAGAAACAGAAATGACATGCTGTTGTGTAAATAAGATAACACTAAAATAACATAAACTAAACTAAATAACATAAGGCTATTTAGTTTGTTTAATAAATTACCCCCCAATATAATGGCAGGGGAAAAACTGGACATGTTTCAAGCAACGTTTGCAGACAGTGACATTTCTGTTAACTGTTTTCACTCCCTCGTCGTTTTATTCAACAGCGAAACCGAAATGATCCCACACCGGAGATTTGTATGAAGCCGGTGCTTCTTCAAGCTTCTTGTGCTTGCCATAGATCTCTTTGTTTATTTTTTCCGCTTCTTATCTGTGTGAGGCGAGTGTCACTTTCCCCGGCTCCAGTTACAACAGTGTGAGGGGGTGAGTGGGCAGAGCCACAACAGTGATTGGACATGAACTCGTGGGGAGGGCTTTTGTGCAGCAGGCTGACTCGGTCGTCTATGGATGCAGCCTGTGGACAGGGGCGCACACACACACACACACACACACCTACACACAGTGGCCTGTAAAGCATCCATGCAAAATTAATTGAAAAACCTAAAACCCGCAGTCCATAAGGGTGTATTGAACCGTGCAAGGCAGACCGAACTGTTCAATATTTTACCAAGAACTGTTGCATCCCTAATGCATTTCTGCAGTGCTAGTAGTGCGGAATCTGAGTAATTGTCTTTTACAAGATAAAACTGCATATTTTAGAGTGGCCTTTTATTGTGACCATTATAAGGCAACAACTATGATATAATGATGCTATATAATCAGCTTCTTGTTGTGCCACACCCGTCAGATGGATGGATTATCTGGGAAAAGGAGAAGTTCTCACTGACATGGATTTTAACAAATTTGCGACCATATTTTGAGAGAAATATATCTATTGACCTCATAAAAAATTCTTAGATCTTTAAATTTGTGAAATGGAAGCAAAAATAAAAGTGTTGCTTTTAAATTTTTGCTCAGCAGACATATATAAAAGAAGAAGAACCCCTAATATAAAGTATCTCTTAAAAGGATAGTGCACATGAAAATTCACCTCGTTGTAGCCTGTAGCTCTAACTGCCTCTCTGGGCACCGCGTTCACGTGTGCGCGCTTGCGTGAGACCGTGAGACATGGACACCGCGTTCATGTGTGATCACGTGCTTTCGCTGGTCTCGCGCAAGCACGTACACGTGAACGCGGTGCACAGAGTGGCAGTTAGAGCTGCAGGCTACAATGACGCTAAAAACAGAGTTCAAATGATGTTTTTCCAAACAACTTTTTATGTCGGGGCCTCAGGACACTTGGATCACTACGGACGAGCAGTATGGAGATATTTTGTGGTTTCAATTATGTGTTTTTGGACGTTTGAATCTGGGGCACCATAAGCCTCCATTAGGTGGAGTTGTGCTGCTACCTCCTCTCCCCTTGGATCTCCGCAAGTGCTGTGAGGACTCTAAAACTTCACCTGATCCTCCATTGGCATGAGGGTGAGTAGATAATGGGTGAATTTTCATGTTTGGGTGCACTATCCCTTTAAGTAAATCAAGTAATATTTTCTGGCAGATAGTACTGAAAACATTTTTTCATGATGATAATGTTAGTGTTCCAATAGGGTTTTTTTTTGGTATTCAAAAAACCTCAGCTGCAGTGAGGTTTTGATGATACATCTAATTAAAACACCTACAGTGCCACATAGCTTGTGTATGCATAAGTGGAGTGGTGAAGTAAAGCTGGATCATTTGGTCACATTTTCTAGTTTAAAATCTCAAAAATCAGCTTGTTGCTGTTCCACTGTACTCAAACACAGTGCACTCCACAAAGTTTAAAGCAGTTCAAAACATACTTCAGGGCAAATTTTTGCACCATCCAAATCTGCTGTCAGGGTGAACCAGTCATGCATTTTCAGGGGCCTCACTGGATGTGGCTTTCGGATTCTTTTGTATCCATCAATATTCTCCAATTCCTGTTAAAGAAAAAAAGTTGTCTAGGTTGTGTACTTATCAAATGATCTGTGGTGATCAAATTATCGTTAACTGATTGTGATTGGTGTTGATGACAGTAAGATTTGAAATAACCTGTTTCAGAACAGGATCAGGTGGGATCAGATAAACATGGAGCGTGAGGAATGGTGTGTCGGTCTTGTATATCAAGACCTTACAGTTTATTTCCACTGAAAGGCCTAATTTCACCAGGACCATTTTCAGAGAGAAAACTGGTTCAGACAACTTGACATGGGACGATGTGACCTCAGACACTTTTTCCACAACATCTCCACAGTCATCTATGTGTAGGACTGCAAACTTGTCTAATATTGTAGGATTGTCATCTGCACAAAACAAAAGCACAGTTAGTGAAGAGAAAAGGATTGCATCAGTTTTTGTACTCGTGCTGTCAAAAATAAAAAGTGAGTACATTTTATTTTTCATTATTTTCTTCATGTCCACTTACCTATGCAGATCCAGTGTGGCAGATGGACTTCATCTAACTTCCCAGCAGTGACTGTGATGTCCATCAGGGGACCTGCAGGCATGTACTTCATGCTTTCAATCCTCTCCAAGTGTCCACTCAAAGAGCAAAACTGGTACTTAAAGCTGACCTTTTCCTTACAGACCCAGCGCAAGCCAGAGACACTGCATTCAAAGTTTCCTGCTCCAGACTGTAGGCTAAAATGTGAATGGAAAAAAAAAGAGTTTGTGTCGATGCACATGAAGGAACAAAACAGAGTAAATGTAAACTTAGAGAGTATCTGCCTTGATTCTATTATTGTAATATTGCTTTAAAAATCTTTTTAATTTCCTTCTGTGAAAAATCTCAAGAACTAAGTGGTAGTGTTTCCTGTAGTTCCAGTTTGCTGTGACGCAGTATTTAGGAAGTAATCTTTACCTGTAAGTTGGAGCCTCATCCGCATCTGTACAGTTCACTTCAGGGTCAAGTTTAGTCCAGTCACTGGAATCCTGCTGCAGAGGACAATCATTTTCACAGATAAGTGCAGATGTGTCTTTTTGAAACAAAACATAAAGGAACAAATGAATGAATGTAAGGGATTACCGTAACACTTCCACAACCCTCAAGCTCCGAGCTTCCTGAAGACCCTTGTGAAGACACACATTCATATGTTCAAATAATGTCATTTTAATATTTCAATCAATCAATCAATCAATCGGTCAATCAAACCTTATTTATATAGCACATTTTCATACAATAAATTGTAACACAAAGTGCTTCACAGAATAAAAAGACAAATGCCCCCCACAAAAATCAACTAAAAGCCAAACTAAAAAGGTAGGTCTTGAGTTTACCTTTAAAAATATCCACACTCTCTGCTGCCCTCAGATCCTCTGGCAGGCTGCTCCACAGATGTGGGCCGTAATAAGAAAAGGATGCCTCACTGTGGGTTTTAGTTCTAACTTCTGGAACAATTAACAGTCTACTACCAGAGGACCTGAGGGTCCTAGAGGGCTGATAGGTTAAAAGCAAATCTGATAAATAAGAAGGACCAAGACCATTAAGAACTTTAAAAAATAATAAAAGAATCATAAAATCAATTCTGAAGCTAACAGGAGCCAGTGCAGAGACTCTAGGATGGGAGTAATGTGTGCTCTCTTTCTGGTCCTCGTCAGAACTCGAGCGGCTGCATTTTGAACTCGTTGTAATGGTATAAACGTCTTCTTAGGAACACCAGAAAGAAGAGCATTACAATAATCAATTCTACAGGTGATAAAAGCATGCAGCACTTAATATCTAAAATACAGCTAAAAAGTGCATCAAGTGGCTTTGGGTCATCATGAGACACAGCAATATATAGCTGTGTATCATCAGCATAACTATGAAATTGTATGCCGTGCCTCCTGATGACCCCTCCAAGTGGCAGCATGTAAAGATTATAAAGTACTGGACCTAAAATCGAACCTTGGGCGACTCCACAGTCCATTTTATAGAGTTTGGAGGAGCAGTCATCAATGTCAACATAAAATTCCCTGTTTAAAAGATATGATTGAAACCAGTTAAGAACAGTGCCACAGAGTCCAATTGTAGTGCGAAGTCTATTTAAAAGAATTGAGTGGTCTACTAAATCACATTGTAACTTTTCATATGTTTATTTTTAGCTGCTTTAACACTACACACTACATGTGCTTCACAACTCTGCACTAATATGCAAGCAATATGTTACTAACATATTAACAAAATTGTTTTCACAAAATACAGAGATTATGTGGCAGAATAACAATGTTCTTAAGTTTTTGCCAAATAATTTAAATGTTCAACAATTGTTGCTCTGCTGTTGGAAGAACAAACGCTTTAAAATACAGATTTAGCTTTTTCAAGCAGCAGAATAATCCTTATAACAAGGAGTGCAAGGCCAACATTTGATGTGTATGAATCCTCAAGATCAGAATTAGAATAAAAGTACATTTTTTAAATGTACATTTTTTTTACTTTTAAATTTTAATGATGTTAATAAGGGTCTAGTTATTCTGGGTTTCCTTGTTTTCTATCTTGTTTTTGCCGGTGACAATGTTACAAAACTAACAGAGAGTGTGCAGTCATGCTAGCTGCTCTGTGAGGCTATACTTTAGGTACAGCGGTGCTTTCAGGTAAATTCTAATATCAGCATGCTAACACACTCATGATTAGTAGGTATAATGTTTACTGTGTTTACCATCTCAGTTTAGCATGTTACCATGCTAACATAAGCTAATTAGCACCACACAAAGTACAGCTGAGGCTGATGGAAATATCATTAGTTTTGATGTATTCATATTTAAAGTACTGGACAATAATAACTCTGATGATAACTTGATGATGGTGCTCGAGGAAAATCAGGGGATCATCAAAGACAGTATGATTCACCCACTGGGGACCATCAATGACTAGAAAATTTCATGGCAATCTATCCAATGGTTGAGATATTTCAGTGAAGACTAAAGAGTTGGAGCGACCAACAGACACGCTGACATTGAGCCAGCAGCATGGCTAAAACACTGACTGACCTAAAGTGAGTGACTGTAGTGACTAGGCCGCATACATTACATGATTCTAGATAATAAAACATTCAAAACAAACACACTAATTCAAATTGCTGCCCAACTGTCTATATGTAAGTTGAATTAAAAATTTGTAACGCTTAAGTAAACTATTACAGATCACTTTCTGCATACCAAATTGTTGATGCTGGAATAGAATTTGTTTTCCCCCACATCTTACCTTTGGATCCCGAACTGATTTCTGGCAACCTCTCTGCCAGATCAGTCCTGTTCATCTCCATTAAAACCTCCCTGGTCACCTCCACAGACTGCTCGCCATAGATCTCCACCATCAGCTCCACTATTTCATCTCTGTCTGCCATCTCCATTCTCTGACTTGAAATTTCTGGGAGGTCTTTCTTCATTCTAGTGCGCTGTAGGACATGTTTGAATTGCTCGAGCTCCCCATAACTTAAATCCTTCAGTGTTTCCAAAAGCTTCTCCATAAGTGATGTCCTGGTCACCACCTGATGGATTCAAAGTAGACAGAGGACATTTATGTAATATTTCCACTGTAGTGATGAAACAATATATTTGCATTAATGTAAACATTTAAGTAATAAGAATATTATAACAACTATTAATAACCAAATCAGGCACAATGATACATTTGGTTCTTTGATTTCTGTAACATGATTAATTTCATTTCATAAACACATCTCTAACTCTCTGTCACTGTGCTCCCAAAAGCAGGAATGATCCACCTGATATCATGTTCTCATAGCTTTTACAGCAGATGTGATGTTGCTTGTTTTAACATTTTTCCACCTCTTTACTGTCATGATGAGGATAATTTTCCAGCTGTAAAGATTAAATTAAAGTTGTGTTGTGTAAAGTGTGTCTAATGTGACATTACTCACCTTCTGGAGCAGTTTAGATTGATGTTTCTCTGAGGAGAAAGAAAACAGAAAATAACTCATCACTGAGCCAACTTTTGCAGGACCTGGTCGTAGCATCAGCTGTACTGGCCCTGGGTCAGTGGAGTGAATATGTTTCAAGCTTGGTTTTTGGGTGTCGCAAACATGGCAATTCACATTTCTGGGACTTGGGAAGCTACTGTATGTAGACCTGATGAGTGAGCTTAATCTTGCTTGTGGAATCCTAAACATATTGTCTCAAGTTATAGCTCTGTTGGTGACTGCCTCCCAAGTTGTCCAGCTCCCTTGTTGCTGTGCATCTCTTCCTCCATGTGGGTCACTTCTTCATCGCCCTGCCACTCTGCACAGAAGAATTTCTCAGCTCAAACATGAACCTAACTTCTCCTGCCTGTGGCCGAGGTGGATTGATTTCAGTGGCAGTTGGAGTGTGTATCTTTTAAAAAGGGTCATGTTGGAGAGGTACAGAGTGCCACTGTTGAGGTGACATTGCACAGTTTCAGCTGCTGCATTAGGCATTAGTGTAAGCACCAAGCATCAATTTCCCTGGGAGGTAGTTATGGCTGATCGTCCTCAGTAATGTAATGAAAAGTGATGAATGTGCTGTTGTTGCATCGCTGTCTGCTCCCTAANGCATCAATTTCCCTGGGAGGTAGTTATGGCTGATCGTCCTCAGTAATGTAATGAAAAGTGATGAATGTGCTGTTGTTGCATCGCTGTCTGCTCCCTAACTTTTTCATATTTCACATTACAATTTGAACCCAAGCAGATTTACCTTGTTACTATGAATTTGGAAATCTATTAGATATTTTTGAAACATCCAGTATGATTGTGTAATATTTCAGTTTCTGTCTTCTTCATCTTACCTTTGAGTCCTGAGCTGGTTCCTGACAGCATCTCTGCCAGATCAGTCCTATTCATCTTCCTCAAAACTTTGCAGGTCACCTCCACAGACTGTTGGCCGTAGAGCTTCACCATCAGCTCCACTATTTCATCTCTGTCTGCCGTCTCCATTTGGTGTCGTGGGATTTTTGGGAGCTCTTTCTCCATTTTAGTGTACTGCAAGACATGCTTGAATTTCTCGAGCTCACCGGGACTTAAATCTTCCAGTGTTTCTAAAAGCTTCTCCATTAGTGGTGTCATGGTGACTTCCTGATGGATACAAAGGAGTCAGAGGACATTTCTGTCATATCTCCACTGTAGTGATGATGCACTAATTTATCTGGGTCAATAAAAGTGTTTAACTCAAGAGAGTATTGTAACGACTAATAATCACATTGAGGCACAATGACAAACCAAATTATTGATTTATGAACTGGTTATCAGTAATTTTGTTTTACTGATTGTCTCTAACTCTCTCTGTCACTGTGCTACCATTTCATTTCATTTCATTTTATTAGGAATCACCATTAGCACTTGTTATAAACAAGGCTATTCTTCCTGGTGTCCAATCTTCTCACATCACAACATCAAACAAATCATTCATATACATACAATACACATATACAATACAGTACAACATACAATACAATACAAACCAAACAAACAATAGTTCACTTATTTGAATCAAGTACAATAAAATTCATAAATCTGTATATTTCTGGTATGCATAGCCATGGGTTTCTCTCCACTTTCCATTTTTCATTTTCTCCAATACAAATAGTAAAAAACATAAACAACAACAACACCAAAAAAGAAGTCTGGAGCGACCCAAGGATGCAGGCACCCAACTCCCAACGCGTGCCCACCTACACCACACCGACAGTGGTGGGTCCGGGTTGCTGCGTGTTCAGCTCCCATACCCAGACCCTCCCCTGTGGATTGGGCTTCGGAGAACACGCGCCAGACACCCGCATCCCTAGACGCCCGCATCCCTAGACGCTCCCTACTCCTAAAACATACACCATAATACAAGCTCAATAAAGCAATAAACAGTACAGTCGGTCTTTTGTCATACCCAGTGATATTTTAAACTTCCCACAGGAGAATCATCATTCATGAAATATTACAAGGTGTTGTTTTAACAGCATCTTAAATGTTTCCTTGGTATTCTCATGCACAATGTACACTGGCAATGAGTTCCACTCTCCATAGCTCTGTATACGACTGTCTTCTGTATACTGCATGTATTGGCTCTGGGCAATATAAACCTTCCTTCAGTTGCATGTCTCGTTTGATATTCATGTTGAGCAAAATTAGGCAATAACCTTCTATACAATATCCTTGGAGACTGTGTTACCATAATGTTTCTCAAAAAGTTTAACAAAACATAATGAGCCCTCTGTCTTACAGTTAACCATCTCAGGCTGTTCCGCATGTCCTTCACGTTGGTTCTGTAAGAACACTGTAATGCACAACGTGCTGCTTTATTTTGAACAACTTGCAGTTTTCTCATGTCCTTCATAGAAGCACTCGACCATATTACAAAACAATAATCTAGCTGTGACAGCACTAAAGCATTTAGGACCTGTTTGATAACTTTCAGTGGCATACCTCTTGAAATTCTTCTTGCAACTGACACTCCCCTTCTCAATATGGTTGGACCATGACAAAGTATGATTAATTGTAATGCCAAGAAGTTTAGTCTCTTGTACTTGTTCAACAGAAATATTGTTTACCATAACTAGTAATGATCCACCTGATCTCATGTTCTCACTGCTTCCACATCCGATTTCATGTTTATGGTTTAAAAACGTTTCCACCTCTTTAGTGTCAACATGAGGATCATTTCAACCTGTAAAAATGAAACAAAAGGTGTGTTGTGTAAAATGTGTCTGATGTGACATTACTCACTTTCTGGAGCGGTTCAGACGGATGTTCCTCTGAAGAAAAAGAAAACAGAAAATAACCCATGAGTGATTAAAAATCAGACAATAAACAACTTTAGTCAGATTTAGTTGTTTTAGAATGAAAAATAATATTAAGGATTAATCACAAAATAAAACTAAATTGGGCTCAAATCTGATTTAAAATCAATCAGGGAGACTGGTTGGACACTGTATCATTAACACCCATTAAATCTAAATGACTCCAATACAAGTCCTGCGACAAACACTATGTTTATAAAGATTATAATGTTTGAAATGTGTCAAAATATATAATTTACAAAGCTGTTCAATGGCAATATTCAGTGTGTCAGAGAGGTGTTGATTCAGGTGGTCACTTTTGAGGTCAAAGTATTTACGCTTGATGTTCTCTATCATTCTGTGAACTGTACCCTCAAAGTAGCTGGATTCAACTCAATGATTTCTGCAGTGAAAGTAATGAATGTGGTGTTTTTAAATTGCTGCCTGCTCCCTAATTTCTGATATTTTTTTATTTTTGATTGAATAAAGTTTGAACCCAGTTTTACTATGAATTCTTCAATAGTGAACAAGTAAATAAAGCTTTACTTATACAGCATTTTAATACACAGCTACAAAGTGCTTCATACACACACACACACACACACACACACACGCACGAAAAATAAAAAATAAAAAATCAAGTAAACATTATGAGACATATGATTGTGCAACACAGTGGTTTTTGTCTTCTTCGTCTTACCTTTGAGTCCGAAGCTGAAGGGAGAAAACCTCCACCTCTCCCTCCTGTTCCCCTCCATCATCCTCCTCTTTATCTCCTCCATCCTCCTCCTGTTCATCTCCTCCCTCTCCCTCCTGTTCCTCTCCATCTCCATTAAAACCTCCCTTGTCACCTCCACAGACTGTTGGCCGTAAATCTCCACCATCAGCTCCACTATTTTAACTCTACCTGCCATCCCCATTCTCTGTCTTGAGATCTCAGGGAGGCCTTTCTCCATTCTAGTGTGCTGTAGGACACGCTTGAACTCCCAGAGCTCCCACGGTCTTAAATCTTCCAGTGTTTCCAAAAGCTTCTCCATTAGTGGTGTCATGGTGACTTCCTGATGGACACAAAGTAGTCAGAGGACATTTTTGTCATATCTCCACTGTAGTATAATACACTTATCTATTTGTAACAACTAATATTAATCACATTAGACAAAATGATAAATTGACTATAAAAACAAAGAACTTCCACATGTGTTCATTTCTGTAGCTTCATCACAATACAGTGGCCCTCATTTACGAAATGAATGTATGACAGAGAACTGGGCATTCTGTCATTTCCACGCAAAACTTGGTTATTGATCAACATGGCCGTGAGTGGAGGCTATGATCAAATCTCGCATCACGTCTCAACTCGTACTGCTCGTATGGTACAGCAGAGTAAATCTGGCTGAGTTGGATAATTGTAATTAGACCATATTCTGACAGGCATATTAAGTATTTACAGCCACAAATTAATCACTTCAAAATGTATAGCTGCCACATGGACACAGTCTCTCTATCACAGCTCACAGTCGCCTGGCTCTGTGTTACTGACCAAAGGCTGAACACCACTGGTGCCTGCCTCTAATTTATCTGAAGCTCTTTTTTGTCAACACTGACAAGCCAAAGCATGTTTATATTATTAATTATAAAAACCTAAGATAAAACTAGAATTACCGCCCCCTGACTGTATGCCTCAACACATCAGTCAAATTTCTCTGACAGTTTACATCCATGACTGTGGAAACATAGATGCTTCACACACATATTGTCCCTGACAGCACAGAGGGTCTATACAATCAGCTCAGTTGTTTTCAGCAGTCACATTTATACAATTATCAACGCCCCATCATTTGTACACTGTGATAGTCGAGATACAAAAGTCTTTAAAACGTGAACCCTGTTGTTAGATGATTTCTGCGTTTGGTTTTGTGCTGGTTTGTACATTAGATTGATAAATGAGGGCCAGTGTGCTCCATTTAATGCTATGAACTGGTTATCAGTAATTGTGCTTTAATGACTGTCTCTAACTCTCTCTGTCACTGTGCTACCAAAAGCAGGAATGATCCACCTGATCACATGTTCCCATTGCTTTTACAACCAATGTGATTTTTCTGGTTTAAAACCTTTTTTCACCTCTTTAGTGTCAACATGAGGATCATTTTCCACCAGTAAAAATTAAATGAAAGCTGTGTTCTGTAAAATGTGTCTGATGTGACATTACTCACTTTCTGGAGCGGTTCATATAGATGTTTCTCTGAGGAGAAAGAAAACAGAAAATGACTCTTTACAGATTAAAAATCAGACTATAAACAACTTTACTCAGATTTAGTTGCTTTTGAATAAAATACCATATGGAGGATTCATCGCAAAATAACACTAAAATGGGCTTGGATCTGACATCATAAAATCAGAATGAGAGAGGTTGGACACCTTATCATTAACACCCATTAAATCTAAAGGACTGCAATACAAAAGTCCTGCAACAAACACGACCTTTATAAAGATTATAATGTTTGAAATGTGTCAAAATATATAATTTACAAAGCTGTCAAATTAAGATATTCAGTGTGTCAGAGGTGTTGATTCAAGTGGTCACTTTTGAGGTCATAGTATTTGGCCTTGATGTTCTGTATTATACTGTTAACTGTAACTTATATTTAGCTTCTCTTTAATAAGGTTCATTTACTTTCAAGAAAATTGAACACAAAGAATTCACTGCCGCAAAACTGACACTAAAATCTACTCAGCAGTGACATCATGAAAATCAAAGAGGTTGAATTCAACTCAGTGATTTCTGCAGTCCAAGTAATAAATGTGGTGTTGTTGTGTCGCTGCCTGATCTCTAATTTTTCAGATTTCTGATTAATTGAATGAAGTTTGAATGCAGCTTCACTAAATCTAAAATCTATTTATTAAAACATTTATGAGAAACATATTATTGTGTAATGTGGCAGTTTTTGTCTTCTTTCTCTGACCTTTGATTCTTGAGCTGATGACTGACAACTTGTTGACCAGATCAGTCCTGTTCATGTCCATGAAAACCTCCTTGGTCACCTCCACAGACTGCTGGCCACAAGTCTGGACCATCAGATTCACCAATGTGTCTGCACTGCCTGCTCCCTGTAGTCGGCTCAATGAGATGTGTGGAAGGCCCTTCTGGAACTGTGTGAACCGCAGCAACCACTTGAATTTCTCAAGATCCTTATAACTCAAATCCTTCAGTGTTTCCAAAAGAATCTGTTTCACAGCTGCCTGAAAAATTAAAAGGATACATTAAGCAAATGTGTCATTTCTGAACTGGCATAATTAAACATCTATTTCTTTGCATTTCATCAGTGTCAGTATTTTAAGACATGGATCTGATAAGATTTACATTTTTTTCTGTATGATCACTCAAGACAATGGATACAGTTGGTAATAAATGTTCTATTGATTATGTTTCCCTCTTTTTCTTTAAAACACAAAGTGTTTTATGTCTATTCATTTCTTTAACAGCATCAAAGCAAAAGATGATATAAGGTAATGGACATAGCTACTATGACATCACCCACTGGTTTGTAGACTGCTGTTTTGAAGCCTTGAGTTCAGCATCTCAGGCGTTGCCATATTGATTTTATAGAGTCAGAAGTGACCATATTTGGATGAGAGGGTGGGGCTGTGGAAAAGTGAAGGATGGATATAACTTACAGACTACAGCAACACATTGCAGACAGCCTGTCACTCAATCCACTCCATCGTTAAATATGTGCAACTTTAAGCCTAAATAAAACGTAAACAGGTGAGTTTAAAAAAAATTCACCCCCGCACAGTTGTCATGAATGTTGAAATTAGCTACAGACACCAAACTGTTTTTTTTTTTTTTGTGTCAGGCTGTAAACATGTTTATTTCTATTGGCTTCATTTCTCAGCCCCGGAGGTTGCTGGTTGATATTTTTGCATCTAACTGGATGAATTAAGGGTTTATTTTAACCAAACCAGAGTTTGTGATTTTTGGAACAGTGGAGAGACAAACCAAGATGGTTTTTGTGAGTTATTTTGTTTCTCTTGTCAGACACGTATAATAACAATCAGAGCCTGTCAGTGGCAAAAACAAGCACTTATAGTGGATGTAAATCGACAGTGTTCATTAAATTACAGCTGGTTTTGCAGCTGTTGGCTGCAGCGGTCTTGCTCAATACTGGGAAAATAGGGTCCAGGTCAGAAAACACAGAAGTTACCCTTCAACACAGTGAGAACCATCCAATTTAAAACCTTTGGTTTGATTTGCATCATCATTTATGATGTTCAGGATGAGGATGGTTTTCAACCTGCAACTACTGAATGAAAGCTGTGATGTGTAAAGTCAGACTCACTCTCTTCAACACTGCAGGTTGATGTTCATCCACTGAGTGTTTCTCTGCAGAGAAAAGACATTTAAAATGACTCAGAGGATTAAACTCTAACCTAACATAGAAAGTATAATCAACTTTAAAAAGGCTCAGTTACCTCAAAAGTAGATATAACAAATTCACAATATCATAAACACTTTCACAGTCTAAAGCAATCCAACACAAAAGTCCTGCAACAATTACTAAACTCATTAAACTTAAAACATTCTGTGTGACTGTTATTGATTTAATTATGATTCAATTGATGATTTATTGATCCCTGCTCCATTTTTATTCACATTGGTGATGACAGAGTTTGTACACAAGCAGATTTACCTTTTTTAAATTATGAATCATAAAATGTATTTATTAGACATTTATGAGACACATGAGATTATGTGACAGTTTTTGTCTTACCTTTGAGTTCTGAGCTGGGCTTTGACAACCTCTGCATCAGATCAGTCCTGTTCATTTTCTTTACAACCTCCCTGGTTAACTGCACAGACTGTTGGCTGTAGGTCCGCAACATCACATCCACTATTTCTTCTCTGTTTGTGGTGTCACTCAACTCTGGTGAGAAGTCTGGAAGGTTCTTCTGGGAGACAGTCCACTCCAGGGACCACTTAAATTTCTTGAGCTCCTTGTCACTCAAATCATTCAGAGTTTCCAAAAGCAGCTGTTTAACAGCTGCCATTGTTGCTACCTGAAATAATCAATACATTTATAGGACATATATTTAATCCACTGGGACAATTACAAATGTGTTTCTTTGCACCACATCAGTGTTAATGGAGATGTGAGTGTTACTGGCAGATCACATAAGGTATTGATCCATTTGGTGACTGCTGTTGTATTATCAGAATCAGAATCAGTTTTAGTCGCCAAGTACGTGTGTACATACAAGGAATTTGACTCGGGCAGACTTGCTCTCAATGTACCAGAATTGACATGAGTACTCAAAATTTAGGCAAGAAGTGGAATATACTGAAATATACAATATACAAAAATACATCAAATATAAAAATATATATACAATATACAAGGATTTAGTACATTTGGTTCAGCTGGGTTTTTTTTATAGTTTTAGTATATATTTTGCATTTGTTTGTTTTTTTGAGGAACCAAACTACAAATCAAAAGATGATTAAAAAACAGTGAAGATTATTTTCATTATTTTATGTTTTATATTTTGTTTAATGCCTCTGGAAAAAAAAGTACAATAAATAGATGTTTCTGGTGGATCAAGTTCTCTTCACTGTTGATGAAAAAAGTCACGAAAAATGTTCATGCTGACATTTCCTCATCTCATCCTCAGTGGTAAAAATATCATATCATTATTGTTGGATTAAATTACTGCTAAAGAGCTTGACCTGAATGCAGCTTCAGTTCTGTGAAAAATAAATAAGTGAATCATGACTTCTGATTGTATCATTATTCAAAATGTTCAAGATGATGCTAATTTTTAACCCTGCATCTGTTTAATGAAAGCTGTTTTGTATGAAGTCAGACAGATGTGACATTACTCACTTTCTGGATCAGTGCAGGTCGGTGTTCATCTGAGTGTTGCTCTGAGGAGAAAAGTGGTAAAAGTCATCAGTGACTGATCAAACATCTGACAGTAAATTTGTGTTCAGGCCATTCTGCTTTATAAAAATTTCAAATAGGCAAAATTACACTTAAATCAGCTCAACAGTCTTTTTTGCTTCCTCTCCCAAAATATTTTTCATATTTCACATTAGTCATAAAACATATTTTCTATGAAGAGTGATTCTTATTTTCTCTACATCATAAATCTTAATATTTATGAATATTTATTAAGCTTAATATTTCTAATTTAAAGAGAAGAAAACATGGTTTATAAACTAAAAACACGTGTCGCCAGTTTTTTCTTCATTTTCTTACTTTTGGGTCCTGAGCTGCTGTCTGACAACCTCTGCACCAGATCAATCCTCTTCATCTTCTTTAAAACCTGCTTGGTCATCTCTACAGACTGTTGGCCGTCAGTCAGCACCATTAAAAACACTGTGACCTGCCGGTCTTCTTTCTCCCACAGTATCATTGGCATGTCTGAGAGGTGTCTGCAGAGGTCAGTCTGACGAAGGAGGACCTCTTTGAACTCCCTGAGCTCCCCGTCACTCAAACCAGCCAGTGTTTCCAAAAGCAGCTCTATGACAGACGTCATCGTCTCCACCTGGTAAATTCAAAGGAAATGTTCATGAGGTAAAAGTGCAATTTGTCAGCTGGGATGATTACAGATTTGTCTGTTCACATCTCATCAATGTCTGTATTTTAGAAATGTGGATGAGGTAAGAGTACATCAGTCATATCACACAAGTAATGATACAACTGATCACATAAAGTCGAACAAAAGTGTCATTACTCACCTTCTGGATCAATGCAGGCCAATGTTGATCCACACAGTGTTTCTCTGAGGACAAAGGAAATATGAATGAATGACTGAATTAACATAAGGCTTTATAATAAGACACTGTCAGACTGTTATAATTCTAATATCAAGGATTTACATTAGAACTGGTTAAATGAACAAAAAATCAACCTTAACAGTAACATCATAAAAATCAATGACGGTTTCACCTGACGTCTTCTTTGCTATTAAACTCTGTTAAAGATTCATACTCTGAAATGTTAATTAAAATAACTGCAGTGCTTAGAGGAAACATTATTGTTAGCTTGTGAGAAATATTTGTTTTTTTTATATTTAATTTGTTTTTTTAAGTCTTAAGTTATAGGACACATACCTCTCTCTATGGTTCTCACACCAAAAGCTTCAGCTGATGATCCTGCAGCTGCAACACATTTAATGACAACTGTAATCATAATAATAAAGACACTGTGTGAAGCCTTTATGTGTTCTTGTCCTGAGTGGAATACTCAGTCCTCCTGAGAACAAAAAGTCTTTAATATTTCAGTTTCAGGTGTGTGGACTGAAGGCAGGAGGAAGCCATGGTTACAGAGATCACAGAGGGAATCAATGAGAAAACACTGTGATAATCTGCCTAACACAGATTGCCTGTCTGTCTCCACAGTGGAGTGTCAAATCAAAGCTTTACACAGAGACAACTCAACGAATTAATGTGAAATCATGCAGACAACATTTGTCTGATTCCTATCAGGCTAAATACAATACAAGACTGATAATGAACTCAACATACACACATTTAATGATCAAAGATCATGTGGCCCAGTCACAGAGAATGTTTTCAAAGAAAAGATGTTGAGAAACTTTTGAAATCCAAAACATTCACCTCTGAGGTAATCTTTGTCTCACTTTACATTTAGTTTTTATGTTGTAAGCACAAGTAAATTTAGTTTGTTAAATGAGTCACTTCATTCATTTCACAGAGTGAGAAGCATATTCCCATATTATTAAAATAACAGACACCTAACTCTGTGAAGCTGATATTCAGTTTGTAGTTGAGACTGTGTTTGAGAAGTGTTGTTTCAGCTCTTTGGTTGTTCTGGGGTCATGACAGGCCTACATGTTGTTACTGCATTGCTTTGACTATAAACTGCTGATTTTGTAACAATACATATTCAATTGTTATTACATATAAAGTTACAGTTGTCTTCTTTATCTTACCTTCTTGTCCTGAGCTGGTCTCTGGCAGCCTCTGCACCAGATCAGTCCTGTTAATGTCCATCAAAACCTGCTTGGTCACCTCCACAGACTGTTGACCGCATCTCTCCAACATCACATCAACCAGTTGGTCTGTACTGTTGGTCAACTCCAGTTCACTCCATGGGATGTGTGGAGGGCTCAGTTCTCTCCATGAGATGAGTTCAATGTTCCTCTGGAAGAACGTAAACTTCAGCAACCACTTGAATTTCTTGAGCTCCACGTTACTCAAATCACGGAGTGTTTCCAAAAGCAGTTCTTTAAACACCCTCATTGTTGCCACCTGGAAAATTACAAGTTTATGTTCATTGTGAAAATATGTTTATTAAATATATCTTATTGCACCTTATTGATGTCATAATTATTTTAGTCATTTGAATATTCTAATGTTTTCTACAAAATCATCTAGGCCACTGTAGATTTGGTCATACAAACCCCCTGATGTGAACATTGGATTTTGTTGATGAATTCATTGTATTTAATTCAAATCATGACTTTGGTTTAATTTATCATTATTAATGTTGATATGAATTTAAACCTGCATCTTATTTAATAAAAGCTGTACTCTGCGTGGTCACACAGATATGACATTGCTCACTTTGTGTATCAGTGCAGACAGGTGTTCATCCACTGAGTGTTTTTCTGAGGAGACAGAAATGAAGTAAAAACATTGATCATCAGACAATACTGCTTTGTAGGAAAAAATAATTACAAAAAGGTCAACACAAAATTACACTTGAACTTTCAGATTATTTTTGAGACATTTTGCCCCCTTTCCTGAAATACGTTTCCATACTTCACATTAGACATCAGATGATGTGTCTCTTCTCTACAGTATAAACCTTATTATTTATAATGTGAAGAGAAGAAAACAGCTTATAAACTTAGGAGACACATGTTCGGGACCAGTTTTATCATTTTAAAATGTTTTTGTCTTTATTGTCTTACTTTTTCTAATTTCTAATTTTACTATTTCTAATTTAAAGAGAAGAAAACATGGTTTTTAAACTAACGACACAGGTTAAAGACCGGTCTTTCTTCATTTTCTTACTTTTGGTTCGTTTGCTGCTGTCTGACAACCTCTGCACCAGATCAGTCCTCTTCATCTTCTTTAAAACCTCCTTGGTCGTCTCCACAGACTGTTGGCCATCAATCTGCACCATTAAAAACACTGTGTCCTGCATGTCTGTCCTCAGCTGCCTCCAATAGAAGCGTCCGTGGAGGTGATTTTGACTCAGGACCGTCTTGAACTTCCTGAGCTCCCTGACACTCAAACCAGCCAGTGTTTCCAAAAGCAGCTCTATGACAGACGCTATTGTTTCCACCTGGTAAATTCAGAGGAAATGTTCATGGGGTAAAAGTCCAATTTGTCAGCTGGGATGAACAAAAAAATTTCTGTTCACATCTCATCAGCGTCCTGTTTTATAAATAAGGATGTGGTAGAGTACATCGGTTATATCACACAAAGTAATGATCAAACACCAGTTTTGTTTTTTATTTATTACAACATCAAGCTGCATTCTTTTTATCCTCTTTTACAAGTATTTTATTTTCATAAACAGGTTCATTGTATTTAATTCCATTGCCTGTGTTAAACTCTTTCAAACACTCATCTATAAAAACCGCAATGAGTCTCTTGATTTTAAAACAGAGCTGCAGAGTTTAACCAGTTGCATCTTTTCTTCTCATATAGTAAAGTAAGAAACACACAATAATAATTTTTTGACTTTTGTTAATTTCTTTCCCTGTCAAAGTTAGAAAAACAAATCAAGTGTACTCTATATATGTTCCACTAAAGGTAAATCTAACACAAATGATTAACATTATTGGTAAATAATATTCATGCTGAAGACCTCATGTGTTCATTATGCAGCTTAATCAGTTCAATTCTGTGAGAAATAATAAAATAAAAATAAAAGCTGCACTGTGTAAAGTCAGAGTGATGTGACATTACTCACCCTCTGGATCAGTGAAGGCCGCTCTTTCTCTGAGGAGAAAAGAAGTAGAAAAGACCTATTAACTTTAACATCAGGCTTAATGAATATTTTATGATCCAAATGATTTAATCCTTAAAATGACACTTAAACCTTTTAAACAGTTACATAATAATATGTCAAGTCAATACATCGAGTCAAAGTTTATTACAGCCCAGTGTAGGCATGCCTCAAAGGGCCAATCAAATAATAACTTAAATTAAATTTTGATTTTATATCTAAAGTCCAACGTCATAAAAAACAATTTGCCTCAGAGGGCTTTACAACATATGACATCCCTCTGTCCTTGAACCATCACAGCAGATAGTGAAATATCCCTCCCCCTAAAATAACCTTTTAACGGGGGAAAAAATGGTAGAAAGCTCAGGAAGAGCAACTGGAGGGATCCCTCTTCCAGGATGGACAGACATGCATTAGATGTCGTGTGTACAGAACAAAATGCGAATGTGGTGGAACTAAAAGATTTTTCAATAGTGTTGATCAGGGTTGCAGCGATATACTGCTTTCAAGGTATAAAGTCATATATAAGCTGACGGTTGTCAAACTGTGTACATTTGCTTATCTACAATATAAAATAAAATTCAACTGGACGTTGAATCTCCCCTTTATTTTAGTTATGTTCTAAGGAGAGACTTTTTACACATTCTTCCATTAACACAATGGTTTCAAGTTTCAATTATAGTAATAAAACCTTTGTTTAACCAACCAGAACCCTTCTGTTTTTATTCCATTAAGAGTCACTCTGACTGATAACAAGACAAATTCTTTAATACCATGATACCGTGAAACCGCAATATTCTCTGGTTATCGTAATGTGAAAATCTCACACTACTGAGTTGATTGGTTTTACATGTACATGTATTTGTTATTTCCATATACACAAACTTAAAAGATATGTTCCTATTTTTACATTTTTAAAAATAAAATGTAAAAACAATTACATTATATTAAAATACTATAAAAAAATAAAATAAATAAATGACTAAAATGACTGATATGTTGTGATGGACTCAGTGAGAAGACTGTGCACATAACACACCTACCTTCTGCCATTGTATTTTTATCAAATGCTGTTGTTGAGGATCAAGGAGCTGTAAAAAAAAAAAAATACATCTAAAAACTTTAGATAAGATAAAGACTTCAGAACAATGTGCAGTATTGTTCGTAGACAATATGCATACCTCTGTTGTTTCATATACATCTCAATGATAAATAACATGGTGTCTCTCTTTAATGATCAGAGTAGGGCTGCAACTAATTATCATTTTCATTGTTGATTCATCTGTCCATTATTTTCTCTATTAATTCATTAGTTGTTTGGTCTATAAAATGTCACAAAATGGTGAAAATGTCCAAGATGAAGTCCTCAAATGTCTTGTTTCGTCCAGAACTCAAAGATACTCAGTTTCCATTTCACATTTAAGAAGCTTTTTCCTTTAGAAAAATACTCAAAACCAGTTAATCGATAATCAGATTAGTTGGCAACTAATTTAATGGATGACAACTAATCAATTAACTGATTAATTGTTGCAGCTCTAGATCAGAGCGCCAAGAATGCAAGACAAAATAAATAGAACAGAAATAACAACAGATATACAACAATATAAGGCTCAGTTAAAGGTATAATACGCAGGAATTGTCAGTTACTCTTTGAAACAGTATCACCACTGAAAGTGAAGGCCAACCCCAGAGTCACTCTTGTTCACTATCTTTGCGTTTTAATGGTGCTGTGTCCACGAGCAAAAAAAAAGTAGACTATCAAAATAGTTGCGTAGTTTTGTAATAAAAAGTACATTTCCCACACATGAACAATAGCAGGTATGGGTCCCAGACATTATTTGATTTACTGAGCAGACTAAACTACACAGGGTAACGTTACCCCAGCAGCCCTATCTTTAACTGACGTAAACGTAGTAATACCACACTGAAGAAACTGTTACTCTTACAAGTAAAAGTATTGCATTCAAAATCTTTCTCCAGTGAAAGTACATGAGTATTAGCATTAAAATATACTTGAAGTACCAAAACTAAAAGTAGTCCTACTCACTATGAAGAACGGGCCATTTCAGAATAATGTAAATTAAATTCCTTGATTATAATCACTGATACATGAATGTGTAATTCACTTTAATGTTGCAGCAGGTAAGGATGGAGCTAATGCTAACATTATGTACTGCTGGGTCAATTAATTCATAATAATATATCATAATTCATTAGTTGATTCTTTTTAGTCTGAATCTGCCACATAACTTGTAACTAATGCTGTCAAGTTTATTGTAGCAGAGTAAAAACGAACATTGGCTTTAAAAAATATAGTGGATTAGAAGTATTAACTAGCATAACTTGTAAATACTCAAGTAAAATTACTTTAAGTTCAGTGGCCTAACATGGGTGTGTCTGTGTGTGTAAACTCAGTGTCTCTCGTTGAACGTCGTCTTTGCTGTTTCTTATATTCTAGTTTCTGTTTTAATAAACTGTCTTGTCAAAGCACTTTAGCAACTTCAGCTAGCAACCTGTTGTTCACATACTGACGTTAGAAAATTGTTAGTTACTGTACTGTTAGCTTAGTTAACGGTTTTTACACACTAATGGAGCTCAAGTTAAAACCATGAAAGTGAAAGTAAGAGTTAAAGTAAGTTTTACAAACCGTTTTAAAACAGCTCGTAGCTTCAGCTGTCAGAGATAAAGTCCGTCCAGTTGTTATGACAGCGGTAAATCATGTCTGGTTGAGTTGACAGGACTTGGAGTCGAAGTGTCTCCCGAGTTCCGCCCGTTGGAGAGCCGTTTTCCGTGGTGTCCTCCTCTCCGTCTCCTCGGCGGTTGGGGTCAGTGCTGCCAGACGGACGACAGAGGGCGGTAACACAACACAACTGCAGAGACACGCGACAAGAAGGAGCAGAAGAAGAAGAAGAAGAAGAAGAAGACGGTCCAGGGTGTCAACAACGCACAGGTGATGGGCATGTAGTGAGATCTGTGGCAGTAAAACCATTATCTTGCTAGCTTCAGCTTTGTCATGGGCCCCTTATGATACTGCTACACAACTGTATGATCTTAATCTTCATGTTTTTTAAAACGCCATAAAAAAAACTTAATTGTAGAGGCTCTTTGTAGTTAGCAACCAGTGGATGGATTGCAGAGTTTGTGTTCCTTAAAAATACTGAAAAATATGTTGTTTTAATAAATGTTTCGAAAGGCAGTTCGAGTTTAGGTACACAAAATTCACAAGAACCTACCACTGACAGTCATCACAGGAGAGGTCAGTTTTATCATTAAAATAAAACTAAAATAAAATAAATGTTAGCTTCATCAGCAAAGTAATCTACTGCAGGGTCATGTCTATGGAGCTACATTAGGGTCAAATGTTTTGTACTTGAAAAAATAAAATTTGAAACTGAAAATTCATGTGTTGATCTTGAATTTTGAAAAATACAACAATGTATTCAAAATAAAAATAAGTATATGAAACCTTTTTTTTCAGGTTAAATATAATTTTGATTCACTTTGGTAATTCTTTTGAATGAATCATTTATTTTCACTTTTCACTTCCATATATATTTTAACATTTGAGGTCATCGGACATATCAGCACTTAAAATGTGGCTGTTGATCTGCAAAATCTGGCATAATTTATCGCTCTTATACCGCAATTGGTGCTCAGTACTGTCTAAAACAGATTTCTAAATGGAAGTTTGTCACTGGCATCAATTTTTACACTGCCAGTCACATGAATATGGTGTATATAGGTGTTGAGTCAGGATTTTTTTAGTTCCTACGTTCCCTGAAGGCACTGTCACTCATGATTCCACACCCCCTCAGTTGATGCCACGCCCCCAACGCCACAACAGGGTCAAAAGTCTGAAACTCAAAAAACAGATTTGAAACTGAAAAAAAGATTTGAAAGTGAAAAAATAAGATTTGAAATTGTTAAAAAAATAAGATCTGAATCTGAAAAGATAAAACATGCAACTGAAAAAAATAAGACCTCAAATGTTAAAATATATATGGAAGTGAAAAGTGAAAATAAATTATTAATTCAAAAGAATTACCAAAGTGAATCAAAATTATATTTAACCTGAAAAAATATTTCATACACTTATTTTTATTTTGAATACATTGTTGTATTTTTCAAAATTCAAGATCAACACATGAATTTTCAGTTTCAAATTTTATTTTTTCAAGTACAAAACATTTGACCCTAATGTAGCTCCATA